ATCCACACAATCTGGCAACAACTGAACGACAGACAACCACTTAAATACACAGGTGAGGAAGAAGCTAATTACACACAGGTGACAATCCTCAGACAATCAGAGACAGGCACCGCAAGACTAGGGCAGACTAACTACAAACTAAAAATAGTTAACTGAAACACACATGGAACAATGTTACAAATGAAACATAACAAAGACAACATAAGTGACTTGCTAACAAAAAACAAAAGCAAAGAACACAGAGACAGTAAAACAAGACTAGAAACACTGCTGAACTCAAAACAAGGAAACCTGATGAACAAACAAGTGACCAAAGTAACATTTACACAAACTACAGAGAAGAGCAAACAAGGGCAGGGAATGAACCCAGAAAACAAATACAAAACACCCCGCAAACACAAACCATCAGCTTTATCAACACCATCTCTACCTTCCGGCTGGAAGGTGGAGATGTATATGTTTGTTTATGAGAAATAAACTTTTGTCAGGTGGGGTTTAACTGCAGTCAAAGTAAATGTTTTTTTACATCATTATGTCAACATTTAGTCAAGATAAGTATGATGTATTTTCTAAACTTGGAGATCCCACCAAAACTGTCTGAGCGCTTCCTCGCTGGCAGGATGTTCTAAAGGTCTGTCCCAGGTGCTGAGTGTGTTATAAACTGATGATTTACTGAATGCATTTATATGAAAACAGAATGTGTCACTCCCAGGAACATATTAGCACCTTTTTCCAGAAAATGTCTCTACAGCTGTTGGTGTAGTAGCTCACCCAGTTCTCAGTGTTGCGTGCTCTCCTCTCCAGGCCTCTCTGCAGTCTCTCTCCGACCCCTCCTGCTTTCTGAAAGTCTTTCACCAGCTCTTTTGTGCGCTTCAGCTCGTCCTCCTCCACGATGGGCTCCAGCATGCTGAGGTAGAGCTCACAGGTCTGATGCAGAGGGGGGACAGGCTGACTGGGCAGTCCCTTCTGCTGGGTCAGGTTTCTGGCAGCAACCAGAGTTGCTGATACAGGTTTAACCAAGTGACAGGGCTTCACCATCCCCACCGTTACCTGAGAGATACAAGAATGTACTCAATTACAGTATGTATTTTATGTTTTAATAACTAGTTACACTGAAATGATCGCAGGTGCTTCATCTGGATTAGATACTAAAGGCCTATACTCTAATTAATTCAGTTACAGTTATCATAATTGTGTTCAATTTTACAAGCAGAATGAAAAAAATTTAATTAGTTAAACAAAGAAGATGTACATTACATTTAGCTGATGCTTTTATCCAAAGTGACTTACAATTGCTATATATTTCAGAGGTCGCACACCTCTGGAACAACTAGGGGTTAAGAGACACATTGTGGGATTGAACCTGATTCTCTCACACCAAAGGCATGTGTCTCATCCACTGCACCATCACCATACCCCAAATACAATTTAACAGAACCTTTGAGTTAAAGATTGAGTGCAATAATTAAAGTAAAATATAATAAACCCTAAGACACGTGCTCTGAAGAAGCTTCTCTTCTCTCCCCTCTCTCTGTCTGTGTTGTGCTTACAGCACATCGGCTGATAAAATTAATGTAATAGGAATGAATGTGCTTCCTCATTTTTTTATTTCTCTTTCAGATGCTCCCCTTATTAGTTTCCTTTTTCTCAAGTAATTTCAGTAAGCTACATTCAGGACATTGTAAAAATGTCGTATTAACTGAAGGTTTGTTACTTACCAGAGCTCTGCTGCAAATTCCCAACATTGTGTTTTCAGAGAAATTCCTTTAGATTGAGATACAACACTTTGTACCTAATAAAATTTGCTTTAGGGATACAGATTGTGATGCATGGAGAAGAGCTTCTGCTATGTGAGAGGAGTTGGTAACCACTGCTCTCCTGCTGTGACGTGCGCTCAGGCAGGTAACAGCTTTTAGGACCCACTAGCAGAGTTGACCCAGCAGGATAAGTTTATATAATTTATTAATAAAAAACACATTGTATTCTAAAACCTTATGAAAGCGTGGCAAATTCCAAACAGTGTGACAAAAAGTCCAACAAAACAAGGAAATCCAAAGTACGTGTGCAACCGCGCAACAAGCAAGAATCCACAAGCAACAAAATGTGAATCAATAATACAGTATATACATGAACAAACACGTAGAGTCTCCAGGCAGACTTGCTGAGCAGGTCAAACAAGACAAAACCAAAAGACAACAATCTGACAGGGACTGAACAGAAATGAGGACAATATACACTGCCATATATCAGCCATAACATTATGACCACTGACAGGTGATATAGTAGGCAGCTGGGGCTGGGGGGGCTGTGGCTCAGGAGGTAGAGCGGGTTGGCCGTTAATCAGAAGGTCAGTGGTTCAATCAGTCAGTGGTGACTCCCCCTGGTTGTGTGTCAAAGTGTCCTTGGGCAAGATTTCCGTTTGAGCACTTAGGCTCAGTGTATGAATGTATGACTGGTGAATGCAGAGTGTAGTTTACAGCAGGCAAGCATAAGGATTTGAGCAATTTCGACAAGGGGCAAATTGTGATGGCTAGACGACAGGGTCAGAGCATCTCCAAAACTGCAGCTCTTGTGGGGCGTTCACGGTCTGCAGTGGTCAGTACATATAAAAGACCGGACCGGAGACAGGGTCATGGCGAGCAGGGCTCATTGATGGATGTGTGGATCAAAGGCTGGCCCATGTGGTCCGATCCAACAGAACTCTACATGTTTGTTCATGTATTGTTGATTCACATTTTGTTGCTGGTGGATTCTTGCTTGTTGCACGGTTGCACGCTTGTTTTGTTGTACTTTTTGTTTGGATTTATTTGGACTTTGCCACGCTTCGTAAGGATTTAGAACGTAATGTCTTTTCTTTCATTAATAAATTATAAAAACTCATCCTGCCGGGTCAACTCTGCTAGTGGGTCCTAAAAGCTGTTACCTGCTTGAGTAAACGTCACAGTATTTGACAGGCAGCAGAGCAGTGGTTACCAACTCCTCTCATAAAGCAGAAGCTATGTGTTTTTATGGCTCTTCAGGCATACAAAATAAAATTTGAATTTAATTTTTTTTAAAAACACATTTTTCAAGGAGTTTCTTACATGTCCACAAAGGTGGACAGCGCGCGCATAAGGTTTTAACTGAAGAAATATTTATTTAACAAACCAATAAATAAAATTATATTATGTGAAATCTATATTTTTTAAACTAAAGTGGTCACATATTTCAACATATTCTAATACTGTTTAATGCAATACAAAAGCGTTGAACCTCACTTCTGACTCCTCAGCCTCTCTTTCTCTGCATCCTCAGCTCCACTATCACTACTGCTAGCATTTGGGGTTTCTCCTATTTCTGGCAGCCATTCATCATCACTGCCACTATTATCCTTATCGCTATGCGTGAAAGTGAAGAGAAGGACACTTTTTGAATTGGATGACTGGAGTCACGTCACACTGTTTCAAACAATCTTACTCAACTGAGTGTGATAAGGAAGTGTTCACTTTACCTCTTCAAAGACATTTTGGCATTTAGTTTCTTAATAATGCCCTGACAAAATGCATCATCCTGCAGAAACAATCTTCTCTACCTCTATTCAGGACATGTCTACAGTATACAGGCAGGAAACCTCCCTGAAGATCCATCACACCGTGGACCACCCAGGTGTAGATATTTAGTTGCATCATAATCTGTAGGATGATGGTTTTGATGGTGACATTGCCTTTGAAATAAAGATTTTATACCAGGTGAAGGTGGGGTTTTTTTGTTTTTTTTTTACAGTTGATTCATAGTCTTTAGCTTCTGTCCTATCAAAGGAGACCAGAATTATGCATATAGGCCTAATGGTTGGAGAGAAATTCCTGATTCATTTTGGGTAAGTTATTTGAGGTGTTTTTCCTGGAAATAGGTGGTAGTTTATATTTAAATTTTTAAATGATGATTCATGTGATTGTGATATTGTGAAGTTAATTTGTACTTTTATGTTTATGTGGACTCTTTCAGCTATTTGTCTGGTAACTAACACTGGCTCAGCATCAAGTTCAAAAGTAATACAATAAAAACATTTGACTTTATAAGAAATAAGCTGACCTGGTGCCTGTCAATTTATCTCAATCTTAACGCCATAGAGCCTCATAAATGTCATTCTTTAATTCAACTTGATGCCTTGAATCAAACACAAATCAATACTTAGAACCATTCAAAACACACAACTGTACAGCTCCTCTGAGCTCTGATGACAGTTTCCACATTTAACTGTATGAACCTTCACACAGAAAATACTGTAACACAGATAAGTAGAATTATAGGGTTTTAATATAAGTTATGAAAATGCAGGAAGATGAACAACAATTTGAGAGACCTGAATTTAGGATCTGATCTCCAGTCAGTGAGATGAATCCCTTATTCACCGAGTTCAAGCACCCCAAAAAGAGCCTTTGTAACAGTAGCAGCTTTATTTATACTGTACATTCCAAAACACAGGAACAAGTGCTTTACACAGACAAAGAAAAACATTAGAATTACATTAAAACCAGTAAGCAGCAGAAAAACACCTGGGGGTTTATACTATTTTCATGTAAACGTAACACAACACGTGTCAAACTGTCTGCACTAGTTAATAATATATAAGTAACCATATAAAAATGTTACAAAAACTCAGCATAATGTAAAAATATTGGTTATTAAACGTAATTTCTTTCTTCAAAGAAAACAACAGCACCAATGCAGAATTAGGATGAGCAGAAGAAACTGGCAGGATAGATGTCGACAAGCAGAAGCAGGAACCTCGACAATTTTTCCATCGTAGCACTTCCTCCAACAACAAACTTGTCGTATTAGAAAGTCACATCTTGTGCCTTTTCCTGACAGAAACACAGAACATTATTAAACAGCATACAGAAGTTATATAAGATATCAGATGCAAGTGGGATTGAGCAATATGGATATGGATCAAGCAACCCTTTCTCACTCCCAGGTCGTCACATATGGATGCATACTCAAGACCCCTTGGTGTCAGTTTATAACACAGTGGGAAGCCCTTTGGCATCATAGTTAAACGCACCGGTGGAAGCCCTGTGGCGTCATGTATGAGCTCTAAACCAGGTGTAGGATATAAATAACAAATCCATGTAAGAAGGTGGTTGGGGTGGACAGGTGGGCTAGAAACCGAACTCCCAGTCAAGACACTTGTGTTTGTTTCCCGTATGAAACAAAAAGACAACATTGTTTTTAGTTAAGTTACATTAGATCCCTAAGTAACATTACATAACGTAGCTATTTTAAACCAAACCATGATGTTTTTCTTTACCTAACCAAATAGTTTTGGTGCCTAAATTTAACCAAATTGCGACGTTTCACAACGTTAACCACTAGTTTTATTTTGAAAGTGTGACATGACTTTGCATATTTTAGCATTTTGCATTAAAGTTTTATCGTGGCTAACTTGACCACAGAGCTCTTCACACACATCCAAAAAAGACGCTAAAGGGGTACACCAGGCGTTAAAAAGTGACGCCAAGGGCTCTTGACCAAGTGACCACATGTGGCGAGTTGGGAGTGAGAATGTGTTGATTGCTGCTACTTGCCACCAGGCTCAGGCCCATCCTACATCTAGAACATGGTCAAACCATCCACCCCAGCCAATGCACTACGCTCTGCTACTGCCAATCAGTATGCTGATCCCTCACCATGAGGGGGGTCCAGCTAACGCTCTACAAAATAACGACTGCTTGCAGCCCTGGCTCCACAATGGTGGAACACGTTCGCCATTGACATCAGGACAGCACAAGCTCTACACAACTGTTCAGACTGTCGCACTTGAAACAGTTTTTTTGACGAGTGTTGCCATTTTTGGATTGTTATCTACATGACTGAAAGGCACTTAATGCAAGCTGCTTACAGCGTGGCTTTAATAACTGCAATTTAAAACTTTATCTTATATCAAGATGATATTTTGTGAATATGTCAATTTTGAAACTAATTTGAGAAAAACTTTATAAATCAAATAATATAATAAAGAATACTAGATACTAATGATGCAACTTTCTATAAAACATCCAACAACAACTTGAAACATCCAGTCAGCTCACAGTTTGGAAGTCTTAGATTTCTTATCTCCTGGATAAAGTAACAATATTATATGTTTATATAATGGTCGCCAGTTTAAATTACTTAAAATTGGTTTATAAATTCATCCAAAATTGAACTGATTTAAGCTGCAGATAGTAAAATCAGTTTTTTTAACACTATAATCTTACTTTCTGCCATTAGCAACACATAGAACTGAATTTTTTTTTATTGAATGTTTCTTGTCAAAATGCACTTCAGGAGTCTTAGTTAACTACTTCTCACTTTAACATAAATTCTGCTTCATAATACAGGCTCATTCTATGACAGTAGCTATATTATAAAGGTGCAGAGGCTCTAACATGTGCAGTTGTTTTGATCTTCCAGAAAAGAAAGCTGATTTTGCTGTCCACATACAAGTGACAGAAAAAATCAAATGTAAGTACAAGTTTTAATGACGTTCACAGCTTCACCAAAATATTGCAAAGAGTGTATGCAGGACATGGGTTTGACTCACAGATTGAAAAAATCACCATAACTTGTCCCAATGGTCTCCTTCTCTGAAACCGCTGATGAGAAGAGTTCTAAGACGTTCTTGCAGCCTGCAGTGAGTAAAAATCCTCATTATGATGCTACTTTGTAAGTACTGAAGTAAACATTACAGTCAAGAGAAACATATGCTGAACATGTTGCAAAGGCCCTTGAGGCAAATTTGTGATTTATGATCTATGGTTATATACTGTAAATAAGTACAAAGCAAAGAGGATATGCATATAATGTGTGACTGTACAATATTTCAACCAAACTGAGCCCTAAAGTTTTTTTTTACCTGTTTCTGAAGAGACTATGCAACAGAGAGGCATTGCTGATTTCAGGGTACCCCCAGGATTCTCAAAGTCAAATTTAACATTTTTAATATCACCTAGGATGAAATTTAATACCATCTTCACTGCCGTATAATGAAAATCTGTATGAATTTTAAGCCCGAGAAAATTATGTACGAAGTTATGTGAATTTAATAACACTGCGGTGTGTTTGTACTTTGATAAGATAAAATTAATCAAAGACGTCACTTTGGGGTCCAGATTAGGGGCGTGACGATACACTTAGCTCACAAGCACCATTCACAATATTTGGTTCTCGAGAACAAGACAAGAAGATATTTTAACACTATTTAATGAAATATTCAAGGATGAAATATAAAAATGGGGGTTCTTGGAGTCCTCTCCTAGAAAATTTTGTGCACTAAACACTTAATTTCCTGCATTCCATTCTGGAGACATTTTCTGCACCAATTTATGGTAGAATAGTCTTTATTTATATAAAGTGATTTAGGAGACAATTCAAAGAATGTAATAGACAGAATATAATACAGTACTCAGCAGCTTGTTTTTTTTTTAGCTCAGGAAACTTTTTTGGGACAATGCACATTTGTTTCTTCTATATTTACATTGCATGCATGTTTCCATATTGTGCAAATGAACCTTTCTCAAAGTATTTCCATTTGTTTGTTTTTTTACATAAATATGTAATGGAGACATGTCCCCAGTATCCCCAGTGTAAATGACACCTATGACATGAATCCAATGTTTGTGCACTAAGAACTCTTGAGGGGTGAAATCAAAAATGCAAAATAAATGTGTGGTATGAGTTGTCGTAATTGGTGACACCTTGGCTAGATAAGGTAATGAAATATGATGTGCCAAGTGCTTCAGCGATTCTTCATCCTGTTTTTCATCTGTTTTTCTAAAGCATCTAAAGGCTGCTTGAAATACAGTATTATATAGTATTGGCTTGAAAGCAGCGGGGATAAGATGTTGGCCTCTGGATTGTTTTTTCCTTGTCCCGGTGATCGGCGCGTCTGGGTGATGTAAGTTTAATTTGCATTAGTTGGATGTTCAAATTCCCATAACGTTACACTTCAACAGAGGCGCAACGCCGACACAGACGTGTCTCCTCTCATACACACCTGTCTCTCCGTTGCTGTTGTATCATTCACTGACCAGTAACCTGCAGCGGGTCTTCCAGCTCTGCTGCTTCATTAGCGCTCGCCACAGTGTGCTTGTTGTGCTGACCTCAGCGCCACTGCCCTCAGCCTCTTACCCCAACTTGTCCGCATCTCCGGCCATCTGAACTTCAGACACTTGCCCACTCTGAGTCGACCAGCTAACGTTAACTTACCAGTAGCACGTCAGAGACGTTTTGTATTATTTTCTAACAACTGACTGATTCGTGCAGAGCTTGGATGCCAGAGCTCGTGCGCCGCGAACACTTCACAGTCCAGATCAGAGTCACACCAAACGGAGTAAATTAGAAAGTCACACACACACAAAGTATTTACTTATGATGTTACGGCATTAATTTAAACGAAATTTAATACTTTGTAAATTAAATTTAATACTTTTATGGCCTTATTTTTGGAATATGAAACTTAAGACTTTTAAAAATACTTTTAAGATCCCGCCAGTACCCTGGATTTGAGCGTCTCCTAAAATACACTGAGGGTTACTGCTGTAAAAACCGCTTAAAATGGGTTATTACAAATTAATGATTTCTCACAACTTTTTTAATTAATAGTATTTGCAGTAACTTTACTGACATTAAGGCCAGTCAGTGTGGATACAACAGATACAAGTGACTCAAAAAGTGTGTGAAAGAATGTAAATAAAGTCAACAGATTTAACTCACAGGTCATCTGAAGACTGGACCAAATCAATATCCTCTGCCACATTGTCCTCCTCCTCTGAGAAAGAACTGAGGACCGAACAGCAGCAAGAAACAAACATTAAAAGTCAAAGAGGTTATGTATGTGATGTGTGACTGTACAGTATGTTCATAAATGAAGCAATATTTTAATGTTAGGAAAGATTACCTCTTTCTAAGAGAGGGGTGTCTTGTTTTTGTATTGATGCGACCTTGTGAACTCTCTCTCTTCATAGATAAACATATGGATCCAGTGGAAGCTGTGTGTTTCACAGGAAATCTAGTAGACAAGAAAGGAAGAGCAGCATTATTATTATTAGATTATTCCAAAACAACAGGAATATTATAAAGGTGCAGAGGCTCTAATATTTTGATCTTTAAGATAAGGAAATTGATTTTATTGATTTTAGTGTCAGTGTGGCTACACGTGAAATGACATGACACAGGTCACAAGGAATAGCAGCACGTTAGCAAACACATTAAAATTATAAATTAAAATAATGACATACTCTATGTCACATATTCAATTTTCATTACATTTTAGTCCTTTAGCTGATGCTTTTATCCAAGACGACTTACAATGGCTATATGTCAGAGGTCACACGCCTCTGGAGCAACTAGGATTAACACACATTGGTGGAGGGGTCGCAGTGGGAATCAGACCCTGGTCTCTCACACCAGAGGCATGGTTCTTATCCACCATCCCTAGCTGTCTGTTGACCAGTTGCTCTCCATGTGCATACTGAGTACTGGAGAGTCTGGTCTCACTGCCTTCAGAGGACTCTAATGGACCTTTTTCACAGCATACATTTTGGCACAACATAGCAGGAAAAGCACAGGTGTAATTGATAGCATAAAAATGGTTGCATTACATTTACGTGAGCTACTTGCAGGGTCCCGGTGTAGTGCATGCTCACTGGCATGACTTCCTGGGACTTTTGATGGGACTGAGCGATCTTAAAGGAAAGTTGGACCACCTGAGCTTTTTCCTGCAATTACAGTGTGTTGCATATATCAAGTGATCATCTCAACATGTGATGGTTGACTATATAGATATATTATGCCTTTATTACTATGGTTCAACATAGGGCTGGGCAGAATGGCCAAAAATGTTGTCACAATAAAGTTTATATTATTTAATATCGATAATTATCATGTTAAATGTCAAATCATTATTTCTTTAAAGGCTGATTTTTGCTACTGAGTGAAAGTTGAAATAACCAGATGGTTATTTCGTCTATGATGTGTTCTTGTCTACCAGTGCAGTAAAAGTACTAACTAACTTTACTTTCGCACACAGGGCTGCATCCCGTCCCGGTTTCCCCACATTAAAAGCAGAATAGTGGCTGATGCAAGCAACAGAGAAAACAGGCGTGTGCTTCATTTCTAAGTGAGGCTACAGCCCAGTCACAATAAGGCTGTGAAAATTTCATTTATTAATAAGTGATTTCATGGAAAAACTCCATATAGCCGCTTTAAGAGAGAGGAGGGTCTTTCACTAAAATGTTCGGAGCGACCTTGTGACCCGTCACTCTGGATAGACGCAGAACACTGACTTTACACACAATCCCCACCCCATAATCATCTTATTTTAGTCTCTTACAATCTGCACATTATTTATTTTTGAAGCTTATAACTTATATATGTTTTCCTATAGTGTGCTGTAATAATTTTTGCTGAGTGTTATATATAAATTAAAGCTTTTTATAATCATTACACTCAGAGCAGACTGACAGAAGATTGTCTATGAATCTATAAAACAGAAGGTTTGACACAAGGTGGAGCCTTTCATTGGCTGCACATCCACAAGACTACAAGGGGCTTATTTTAGATGTACACATTTTGGCCAAAATCAAAGCTCATAATCTAATTTCTGTACAGCGCCATGCCACACAGAAGAAACTGAATAAAATATCAGTTTCTGTGCCAGTGAATACTGGTCTGAAATGTTAAAAGTAAGCATATGTAGACCCAATCTACAGGCTCGAGATCAGAACTAATCCAGGCACTTTGATTTATGTAGTTACATTTATAAAACCAGATGTTTTCTCCCACTTGTTGAAAAACTGACTGCACAGCGTTGTGAGTAAATGACCCACCCAGCCACAAAATAAATAGGCTGCTATGAGAGCAGGGCTGCTTTTTTAAATTTTAAAACCACTTGTTTTTATGTCTATTTCAGTTTGTAGGTGAACCAAACCTTCCTTTGTGGTGGATAGATGGTTCAGCAAAGCCTGTGACATTAACACTGTAGACCTCTGTTTGTTTCCTCCCACCATCAACTCTGTGTGTGTGTGTGTGTGTGTGTGTTAATAAAAGCTTACTTGAGAGAGGAGCTTCCTTTGAAATCCATGTCATCATATTTTGACCTACTACATGTGATGAAAACACTGGGTGAAGGGAGCCATAGACAAGAGAAAAAGACAAGCAGGGTGGGAAATTAGATTGTTAGCCATCCAGCTGGATACACAGAAACTAACAAGTAGGCATCAGAAAATTTCAATAGAAGTTGATCCTGTTCCCACAGAATGATTTCTCTCCAGTGGCGGTTCTAGACCAATTTTATTAAGAGGGCCAGGCTGGGGCCGGTTGTTTTGTCAGAGGGGCCCATTCAATCCAGGACAAAAGAGACAAAGGCAATGTTCAAGCTTTCAAATGTCTTGTTTAGTATATAATGTAATATTTTAGTATTTTTTATTAACTTACAGTTATTTGTTTCAGTAACAGGATCAGTAACTTAGTTATAGTTTTATTAAATTACATAATACAAAAAAACATTCCTGAAATTACAGGACATTCTTCGATGCAACACTTCTCTGTGACGCTTAATGAACAGTAGAAGCTCTAGTGTACAAGACATTCTCTGGATCCCAGTTTGTATTTTGTATCGCACTATAACTTTTGTTAGGAAACAACAAACTTCTCCATATTCACTCCTGTTATTAGTCCAGATGTGAAGTATACATAAAGTTAAATACTTAGGCCATCATCTGTGCATTATAAAGGGGGGATACGTTTTATGGCAGGTTGAAAATACAGTCTGAAATAATTGCTTGGAAAATAGAAACTTCTCCAACAATAGCAATATTATAAAAGTGCAGAGGCACTAATATTTCAGTAATTTTGATCTTCCAGAAAAGGAAGTAGATTTTATTGACTTTAGTGTCTGTCAGTGTGGATACAACAGATACAAGTGACAGAAAATATTAATGTAACTGAACTGAAAAAGGTTTAATGATGTTCACAGCTTAATTAATACATTTCAAAAAGTGTGTAAAAGAATGTCAATGAGGTCAACAGATTTGACTCACATTTCGTCTGAAGACTGGACCAAATCAATATCCTCTGCCACACCCTCCTCATCCTCTGAGAGAGATCTGAAGACCGAACAGCAGCAAGAAATAAGCATCTTTATCAGTATGAAAATAAACATTAAACTACTTCTCTAAGAGAGAGGAGGGTCGCTCACTAAAATGTTCAGAGCGACCTTGTGACCCGTCACTCTGGATAGACGCAGAACAGAAGGACTCTGAAAGACAGATAATCAGACACACACAATCCCCCACCCCGTAAACATTTCCTTTTAGTCTATATTGTAACTTAGCCATGTTTTCCTATAAAGTGTGTTGTAACATCACTTTTGCAAAGTGCTATATAAATAATTTTTTTTATAATTATTATAATCAGAACAGACTAATTAAAAATTGTTTATAAATCTATAAAACAGAAGGTTCGACCGTTGAGGAGCATTTTCAGAAATAATATTATGCTGTCTCTCTCTCTCATTGGCTGCACATCCACAAGACTACAAAGGGCTTATTTTAGATGCACACATTTTGGCCATAAGCAAACATCCTAATCGAACCACTGTACAGTGAAAGAAACTGAACAAGCTACCAGTTTTTGAGTGAATACTCGTCTGAAATGTAATTAAAGTAAGGATGTGCAGAGCAATTCTACAGGCTTGAGATGTGGACTAATACAGGCACTTGTGATTTATGTGCTTACATTTATAAAACCAGATGTTTTCTCCACTGTTGAAACACTGACTGCACAGTGCTGTGAGTAAATGAGCCACAGAGCCACAAATAATTAAACTGTGTAAACTTGTTTCCTGTTTCCTGCCAGCATCATCAGTTGATTCAACTCTGTGTGTGTGTGTGTGTGTGTGTGTTAATAAAAGCTTACTTGAAAGAGGAGCTTCCTTTGAAATCCATGCTCTGATATTTTGAACTACGACGTGTGATAGAACAACTGGGTGAAGGGGGGTCAAGATAAGAGAGAGAAAGACAAGCATGGTGGGATATTAAATTGCTAGCCATTGAGCCACAGTAACTACTGGACACACAGAAACTAACAAAGTTGGAACAAGTATCAGAAAAGTTCAGTTAGCACATTAAACACATAAAAATTATAAATTAAAATAATGACATACTCTATGTCACATTTTCAATTTTCATTACATTTTAGTCCTTTAGCTGATGCTTTTATCCAAAATGACTTACAATTGCTATATATATCAGAGGTCACACGCCTCTGGACACACATTGGTGGAGGGGTCACAGTGGGAATCACACCAGAGGCATGGTTCTTATCCACCATGTGCATACTGAGTACTGGAGAGTCTGGTCTCTAATGCTCTGAGCCGTAACACAATACACAGGATTGACTAAAGTCGGTGTACTCAGGAGTAAAAGGACAACAATCAGTCAGAGATCCTCATCTCACCTCTGAGCTTCGGTCTGGCTGCTATGTTGTCCATGCAGAGGGGTTTCAGAATGATGGCCCTTCTCCTCTGTCTCCTCACACTGACTCATTGCAAGTTTAAACCTGCACCTGCACGGAAAACAGAAGCCCCATTCATGAGTTTACTGAATGATGGTGCTCACCTGTCAGTATCTGTTAGGTTAGCAAAATCTTTTTCTACTTCTTCAGTTGCCAAACAGAACTAAAACTGTGCACTGAGCTGATGAAACTCAGTGACAGGAAGGACCAGCGAGTGCAGTAAAACAGAAGAGGTTATTAGGTCTAAAACGAGTACCCTTCCTTCCCTACAGAATTAAATCTATCTGAATGTGCTATGAGGTGCACTGACTGTACTTAGGTTTAGCTTATTATTTGACACCACTTGCATTTGTGACATCCCCATCTCATTCAGCTGCTGGGATGTCTATCTCTTTGTGTTCTATGTTGCAGATGCTAATAGGTGTGGTTAAGATTTACATTAGATTTATATTATTTAATATCGATAATTATCTGTCAAATTAAATGTCAAATCATTATTTCTTTAAAGGCTGATTTTTGCTACTGAGTGAAAGTTGAAATAACCAGATGGTTATTTTGTCTCTGAGGTGTTTTTGTCTACCAGGGCAGTAAAAGCTTAGCTGGCTGATTGCTTCCATGCTCTAAGCTAATGTTGCCATTTTATTGCCAATTAATCCGCTGATTGTCTTGCTAACAACCACAGGCTGGAGAATAAGGCTACATGAAATTAATCCAACTACATATTTTACAACACTGACGGGAGAAACACATCACTTCTCTCTGTGATTTTGGCCAGCTTTAAGCTAAAGCTATCAAACAGCAGCTTTCATTTGCATCTAACGTTAAAGTCTGACAAACTTTAGTTAATTAACTGTCCAACAGAAAACAGACAACTTCAGCACCGCTTTGAAAACATCTGTCCCACATCAGAGCCTTCCATCTGGGAAAATCAACAATGATTATATCCTGATTTCTGCCGTCAGCTGTAGGGCTGAACAATTAATTGCATTTGCGATATATTTTCGTTGGCCAACTTTTGAATTGAACCTCAAACTGAGTATTTTTTGTTTGCTTACTGGGATATAGAAAGACGGACTCCTAGGAGATTTGAACTGAGATAAGGACTCATTAATTGGTGCTTGAACTGTGGGTTTTGTATTGAGCGCTTACTGTATAACACTGTGGTGAGTTTGTTTTTCTTGTGGTCTTTAGGCCGACCTGATGATATTATATCATATTATTTAATGCCATGACTTGACTCAAATTATCTTTCTCATAATATTATAATTTGACATATCTTCTCCACCATTGCTCATAATAATTCTACCTAATTCATCATAACACAAGAAAGAACAGTGTAGTTCTATCTATCTAATATTGTGTATACACTGAAATATTTATCGCATATTAAATCGCAATCGCAATATTGGGGGAAAAAATTGCAATTAGATTATTTTCCTAAATTGTTCAGCCCTAGTCAGTCAGTCTGTATCTGTCCCGACTCCCATCTGGCTTCATCATATAAAGATCCACACGCTTCAGTTGTCCAAATGTCACTTCTCTTCTTACTTCTAATAAACCATAAGACTACTCAGAGACTGCATATTATTATTATTATTATATTATTATTATTATTATTATTATTTTCTCTTCTTCTTTACACTGCCGGAATTACACAAGCAGAAGAAGAATGCCATGATGACGAAACTTTGTAAAAAATAATAATAATAATTTAGTCACATACATTAAATGTTACAAATCTGTTACATATGGTAGGTCTACTGTTTATATTATTTCACCATCTGTAGGACAATGTCTAAGTAGTGAATGCATGGTAATGGGGGTTGGTGTGGCCACAGTGTAAGGGCTGAATTGTTGTCCCAGTCTGCCCCTGTCCTTAAACTAGTTTTAAGAAAAAATAAATGTGTTAATGTTGAGTGTTAATAAAGTGACAGATGCCACAGTATTACTTCCTCATTTCACTTCCTCATTGGTTGTTGGAGTTGCTTTCTGCCAACAGATGCAAAGCTGCAGCTAGGCAATTCAAAGTGCATAAGTGAAACAAAATAAATGTTAATGTTAAATGTTTTTTTGTTTTTGTTTCTAACTGATCATACATTTCAATAAAATTAAAACCCTAAAGCAAAGTTATTCCATTTTTTGTTTTTGTTTTTCAGATTGAATGAAATAGCCTACTAGTGACACACGGACCCTGATGATTTGATTATTAAAGTAAAACAGTATTCACAATACCTTTTAGATGGTGAATTACACTGTTCGCCACCGGTAACAAACACAAAAGTGAAACTGTAAGCAGGATGTCTTGTCTGCTCAACCATCACGGCTTCCGCAAGTCCGGGGGCGGAGCTAGGCTCTCAGCACAGTGGGTGCAGAGCTTCATGCGTTACAAGTCATTTATACCGAGTTTACATGAACATAAGCTCACTCCAAAAGTCCACTGCTGATCGCAGCCATTCTAGTCAAAGCTTATGTTCACCAGAAGCGTCTCTCTGCTCCGGAGGTATTAACGGAAGCCGCGTCAAGCAGCACAGAGCTGCAGGAAAACAACACAGAAACAGAGAATCCGGTCAATTTTCAAAATAAAATACAACAACAAACCTTTATTTATACAGTCTATGCAAGAAACACAGTTAAAACAGACAAGAGTCTTAATGATTGGCTGTAGCCCCTGTCAATTGACCCTTCGCTAAGCCCCGCCCCCTTAGTTACTGTTGCTAAATCTGTGGGCTGCCACCAAATATTGTCAAATTTGTTGGAAAAAGCAATCTCAGAAAGAAGTAGACAGTTTTTCAGTTGCTTAGCGAAGGGTCAATTAGCAGTGGCACAACTATTTTTTATATCCCACCAATACTGGTCAAACAGATTCACAGGTTACTTTTCAAAGAAATAAACCCCATCGTTTAAAAAAGAAGGTAGCTTATTATATTATAACATATTGCGAAGGGGGTCTAAATGTATTACATTTTTGGACCTCCAAAGTGGATAAAAAATGACATCCAAGGAAAGGATAAACTATGGTACTTTATTCCAGAATTTATTTTTGAAAAAGTAGGTGGTGTTGAATTCCTCCTGCAAAGCTATTTTAGCAAAAATAAGATCCCTGTTGCTCTGTCCAGTTATCATAAACAAGCATTATTGCCCTGGTTAATTATTTACAAAAATAAGCTACCTTTTCTCCCCATAAATGTTTATTTAGGAATAATAAATATATTAGATTAAAAAATAAACCTTTTTATATTTATAATGAACTATTTTTTGATGATATAATGTTGGTGACACAATTGCTAAATGAAAATGGACTCTTGTTCTCTCATACATAATTTCTCAGGAAATACAGAATTCCAGTTACACCTAAAGAATTTGCTATTGTTTTTGATGCAATACCTTCTGGTCTTCTGAGATTTATTTTTTAGCATGTTTAACTTGCATCACCAACTTAAAGGTACCCTTATGTTAAATGGCATATTATTTGTTCAAAAAGGAATAATGATAAACTGAATTGCAAAAAAGTAGGTTTTTTATTTGGCTTTTCATTTTGAAACAAAAAACAGATAAACGGTATTTTCATTTTTGAATTACAAATGAATTACGGATTATCCATAGATACCCGGACCACTACAGAACTTCACTTCCTTGTTTGGTTCCACAGTGGACCAATTGCGTTGCTTTTTGTGTAAGCATTGAGGGAGGCAGCCTGAGAACAAAGAATTTAGTTTCCAGCGACTTCTTCACTGTAAATAAAACAAACGTTATGCGAATGACAAATAAAGAACTTGAACTTGAATATATTCTGCTTCATCTACTTCACTAAAGGGAAATGTTTTACTTTTTACTCCCGTTGACAGCTGCATATTCTTTGTTATTGTTATTATGTTATTTTGAAGCTCATGAAGACCTTATGAAATAATTCACTTTTAATCATTTTAACGGGGCATGTTTTGATGACTTATTTTCTGCGTCCTTCTGAGTTTTATTTTGATTATTGCACGAGCATGGGATATAATATTAATTTTCTATAGTCTATATAAATTCTATAATCAATCATCTCTATAAAACATTTATTTAAAAAAAGTTAAAATGACCTTCCCCTCAATCACCTACAACATACTGATATGTACAGTAGGTGGTCTCCAGGTACAAAATGTTGTTGATCTGACTATAATTACTGTGATTACACGTCCTACCTGGAGGCTTTATATATTTTTATGTAAGACTGATAACTAATGTGTATCAGTACAACACCACAATTGTATAAACACTTGATTTTATTCTCAACAGAATAATCCAACAAAGGGTGTAGTAGAGCATTTTCAGCGTAATAAATGAAGCAGTGGGATAAAAAAGGTGGATATAAAGTGCACTGGTTGAGTCACGACTCTGTGATGTTACACATAGAGCAAACGTGCAACAAAAACTCATCATTCACTTATAACTGAGAACAGTTTAAAATGTTGCACAGAGAATCCCACAGTTAGATCATATGGACGTAAGTTTTATTGCAATAAACATTACAACTATTGGCATAACCTATCGTGAGACATTTAAATCTGCAAAGTGCTTCAAATGGAAAATGGAATTATTAGATTGAATTAAATTTCCAGAAATCCAGAAAATCATTGTAATCTTGTGTTTTTTTGAGGATGGTTCATTTTGTCAGTGAGATATTTACCAATTAACCAATTTTAAATGAGTTCCTAACTATTGTTTGAAGCGGGGCTTGAAAAATCTATCCTTTACTTTGTCAGCCATCTGTGCATTGCCAATTGATTCATGTCACTGGGATGTTGGGAAGTTCATTTGTAATTTTATATTTATATTGGACTTTATTTTGGCTATTAGCCCAATACTAACACTGGCTCAGCATCCAGCTCACCCACATGTAGACTTTTAAAAACCCCGGCAGCAGCTGACCTGGGGTGTGTCAACTTATTACTAGAAAGACACCATACAATTACAGAGCATTTACATCAATACTGAAACCCCTTTAAACTCACAGTAGAACAGTTCCTCTAAGCTCTGTTGACAATTCATACAGACGTGGTGTAGGGTTACCAATTACATCCACTTTTCACATCAACTTAAATGATTAGTTACCCTTCCAGGACAGGAAAAAAGTGCTTTATATACTGTAAAACTCCAGTAAATCAATATATGACTGTATAAACCTTCACACTTATATACTAACACTGTAACACAGACAACTTGAATTATTTAGTTTTCTTAAGACGATTATTTTGAAGGCAAGAAAATGCAGGAAAATGAACATGAGAGCCCAAATTTAGGGTCTGAGCTTTAGTCAGAGAAAGGAATCCCTTACTGAGCGAGCTCAACAACCCCTTTTAAAAGTTCCACCATCCCCTTTAATTTTTGACCAACTTCAAAGAGAAAATACATAAAGTACATATATATTTCAAGTAAGGTAACACAGCATCAGTCCTTCCAGTTGTGGGAGTGCTAATATACATATTTACCCACACTATTATAAACACCTATCAACCATAACATTATGACCGCATGCTGGTCAGTTTTGTTAAATTTAATTTCTTTTCATTTTACTTTTCTACATCAACTGAGATGTAGAAATATAGGATGATTCCCACCAGCTCCACATTTTAATTAGCACGGACCCAACATCAAACAGGTGAAGCAAGGCAGCTTTATTCATGCAGCACATTTCAAACTGCTGTAAATGCTCCGTATATTTCTAGTCTTTTCGACCACTCAAAGCGCTTTTACACTACATCTGCATTTACCATTCACACACATTCATACACTGAGCACTTAGGCTGTATGTGAATCAGAAACTAACATTCACACACATTCATACACGGAGCCTAAGTGCTCATACACACACATTCTTACACTGGTGGAACAGCCACCAAGGACACTTCGAAATGCAGCCTGGGGGAGCCAGGATTGAACCGCTGACCTTCCAATTAATGGGCAACCCGCTCCACCTCCTGAGCCACTGCCGCCCCGCCCTGCAAACAAAAACATTAGATGGATAGTAAAAAACAATAAGCAATAAAAAAACAGAATAAAATGCAAGTGCAATAAAATGACATTTGACATTTCAAGAAAAGTGAAGTAGGATCACTGAAAACAGCAGAAGACACAATCTTGTAGGGAAACCAGGAGAAGAAGCAGGTGGCAGGAACCTCAACATCGTTTTCATCGCAGCACGAACTTCAACATTCCTATAGCTCACAGTCAAGACTGGAAGTCTTTGAAGTGGTGACACAGTGATTAATAAACTACAAATCAGAAATTTGTAGTAATGCATTAAAGGACTCAGGCAAGACTGTGGGTGCATCCCAGTTCCCTCATTTGATCATTCCTTACTCCTCTTTCTTATATCTTCATGGATAAAGTAACAATCTTACAGGTTTATTTTATGGTCACCAATTTTCATTATTTAATCTTAGTTTCTGATTTCATGAAAATTGATCCAGAAAAATACAAACAAAGTCTCAACTCATATCTCAATTAACACTGGTTTAAGTAACTGGTGCAAATTTGTGAATTCTCAAACAATATCTAATTACACTTAATAAAATATCTTTAAAACCCCATTTTTATCTTGCAAACAAACATTCTGCAGTCCACATTCCAACATCCTGTGATTTCTATGTTACTATTTACCAATATCTTGGCAATAATTAATATAATTCTTCTTTACAGACTGTCTGTGACTAAAGTTTGAATTGGTGAAGTTACGTGGAAGTACAATTTCAGGATCCACTGGAATTATTATTACATTTAGCTAAAAAGCTTTGTACCTTAGACCAAGGAGACTGTCCAGAAAAACAAGAGCATCAGTTTTCTGTTCAAATGCCTAAAACAACGTATAAAAGCTTACCTGAGAGAGGAGCTTCCTTTGAAATCAATGCCCTTGTCTTTTGATCTGTCACTCCCGGTGGATTCACAGGATGAAAGGGAGCTTTTCCTTGGGTATCCAGTAGACAAGAGAGAAAGACCGCCAGGATGGGAGATTACGTTGTTAGCCACCCAGCCAGAGCAAATGCTAGATACACAGAATCTAACAAGTTCAGCAAATGTTGATTCTGTCCCCACTGAACGATTAGTAGTAGTTTCCCCTACTTCTCACTTTAACACGAATTGGAACTGGATTATTACAGGACTATATGAATATTATGATGATGCAAAGGCTCCAACTTTCTGACTTAAGTGTCTCTTAGTGTGGCTACAAGTGAAATGAAATTAGTAATATGTTCAGATAAGAAAACTGGATTTTTAAACCAGAATTGCATTGAGTATGTCCTTGTCTACACAGATCACAAAGCAGAAGCAGAATGTTAGCAAATGTAGATTACAATTTACAAACAGTAAGATAATAATGATAATAATGACCTACGTTGAAAGACGATCCCATAATCCAGGGCTGTTTGATGACCATTCCCTCTCCATGGGCATCCTGAGTAATGGAGGGTCTGCTCTCTGCATTTCTGAGCTGTAACACAACAAACAGGTTTGATTAAAGACGATGGAGTGCTGACTTCTGACTGAAGAGAA